TAAAAAGGGGATGAGCTTGTGAGGGCAAGGGAGAAAGGGGGACCATAAAAGACAAGAAAAAGTGTGCGAGTAAGAATGAAGGAGAACAAGCAGAAAGAGAGATGAGGACTGAGGAAATGACAGACAGAAAGGGTACACAGCAACAGCAACAGAGGCTGAGATCACTGCTGAGTACCACAGTTGTGGCGAGCAGGCGGACTCTGCACAGCAAAGTAAGCACACAGCGGGCTTGCTGCGAGAGGGGGCGAATGGTGGAGGTGCCACCTCCCTCAGCCTCCTGGTCCCCCCCACCATTCTAGCCAGCCTGCGTGCCGACAGCTGCACCCCAGTAATTTACTTCTCTCCACCACATTTAGCAGGAAGACTGCTTCCCATTACCCAGAGCAGGGGGTCCACGCTGACGGCCAGACACCCGGCCAGAGCAATGGCTTCCTGGTGTGACACCCTCTGCTGCTGGACCCTGCCTACAGGGGATCCACTCAAATCTGTCTGCCACTTCAACTTTCACTACTGCTGTTCATTTGGGCGTTTCCCCTCACAAAGTTCAGGCTGACTATTGTAAACTTATTGGAAAATAGTTAGCAAGAAAGGGTATACACCATTAGTTTCAGTCAAACTACTGAATTACCCACAGAGAGGGTCAGCTGTGGCTCAGGAGGTAGAGCAGGTTGTCTGCTAATTGGAAGGTCAGCGGTTTGATCCCCAGCTCCTCCAGTCCACAATCTGAGGTGTCCTCAGGCAAAATACTGAGCTCCAAATTGCTCCGGATGCTTGCATTGGGGTGTGACTGCGCCTCATCGAAAGCGCTTAAAGGAATAGAATAAAGTGCTGCAGGAATGTGTGAATAAGGCTCGTAGCAAAAAGTGTTAAGTGCTAAGTAGAGTTGCAAAGTGCTATATAAGTAGCGGTCCAGTTACGGACAGGCACCTTCCATATTTGATTATCTTCTCTCTGGAAAATCCCTTTATCCATCACTTAACGTCTGTGCTAGGTATTTAATGTTAAAAATGTGTATGTATGTACTTGTCAGCTGTTGACAGGTGAAGTCAATATCTCATTACAGAGTTATTCCCCAGTGAAACTTTAGATCCTAAAAAACTGTGTGTTCAACAAGCCTGAGCCACAGAACCCCCCGAGGCCATTACTTGGCATATAAGATTATGGCTGAACAGCGCACGATGTACTAATAATAACACCGTCAACAGAACCAAGCTGGTAAAACAGCATATTTGTAAAGGAGTTATTAATGCAGCATCACAAGTTTCGGTTCTGTTTATCTTTTTTTTTTTATATTTAATCTTCACAATATATCAGCAAATTTGCACAACTATTCCCCACACTGTTGCAGTATGTGCGTACGTTTATGTGATTGTGTATTTGTAGCAGTATGCAATCCTTGACACCCATAATGAAGGTAGACCAGGCAAGGCCAGCAGCAGATTTGGCCGTGACTCAAAGGCCTTAAATCCTGAGACAGTCAGCAATGCAGTATCATGAGACATTCTTAATCAGGTGGGTCTGCTCCCTTGAAGAGCATCGAGCTTTGCAGGAAACACTGCATTCCCTTACTTAGATCTTACAGAACAAACTAATAGAAATGTGGGAAATGCTAGCTGAATTGTTGCAGGCCTGTTCACCAGATGCAGAAGGTACAAACATTCAAAAGAATGGAGGGGGAAAAAAAAGTTAAAAAAAATAAAAATCTACAGTTACTGTGTCTAGTGTTTTGTAACACCCCACCCCCAGACCACCAACAAGGTCTTGCATGGACGAGCAGCTCATGGGTGTCCTTCAGCCACATGACCAGCAAAAGGGCCAATCAGCTGACGAGGTCCAAACCAAACCACGAGAGTCTCTGTGGCACGTCGCACACAACATCAACCAGCTCTCCTCGGGCCGACTGGGTCACTGAGCAATGTTCTGGGAACATCACAAAGACGCTGCTCAACTTCTGTCCCCCCCCTTCCTCACCATCTCTACTGCTGTGCTCTCTGCTTTCCCCTCCTTCCCCCACTCCACCCCTCCTCTCACAGGTTGGAGCCAGCTGAGCGTGCTACCCAAATCCAACAGTTGTTGTGGCCTTCGTTAGCCTAACGAGGGGGCCGGCTCTTTATACTTGTCAGGGAGCAAATGAGTCAAACAAACAAGAGCCAGGGAAGAAGGGAGGACAAGCAAGCGCTGTTCTGTTGAGCTTGACTGGGTTTTTGGCCACAGCGCTTCCCTGGAAACTAGGGAACCCACAATCTGCCTCTTTGATGTCAGATGATGCTCTGGCTTTGATGGAAACTTTGGAAAAACACTTGCAAAGAGAAATAACATGCTGTTTGGCCTCTGTGGCCACTAGAGGCCGTAGGCACATTCAAAGTGTGTGGGTGCACTCCATGAAGGATCTAAAAAGGAAGTACCATTTGGGGACACATAACAACTGGTTATGATAGTAACGACAAAGTTACAGTGTTTGTGCAGGCCTGTACTTGCTATGTGGTCTGTGCATAAGGGCAAAGGGTAATGTCCTGCTGGTAGTGTCAAAATAAATATGCTTCACTCTGTATATTAAACCACTCGCATTTGCATATCTAAACACACACACTCCATCCCACTCTTTGTCTCACATTCAAAAACAGATAACAAGCCCATCAACATCTCCCAATGGTGTCCACAATCCAGACGCATTACTGCAGCACAAGGCTTAAGAAGAAACTATGAAGGTGTGTCCTTCAGATTTAGATCATTTCACAGAGTGCAGCCTGTCTGGAACAACTGTACAGATCAATCCAAGGCTAAGAATCTGGAGCTTTAATGACAGATTAGCTCTACTGAGGGTGGGGGGGTTACAAGGTACAGAGGCACAATCGCTTGCTTTACTTTCTCTCAGGCGTCTTGACTCAGTCTGCACGTGCATGCTGAAGATGACTAATCAGAAAGGAATCAAAGAGCTGCTTTGCGCCTGCAACTGGCCCACCGTGAAATTCAATCATCATGTGGAGCCAATAAACGGGCACTGCTAGAAGAGGAGGCTACTCAAACTGTACCTGCTTTTGTAAGAGAGTACTGCAGTGCAAGACCAGGTCCATGAAACAGACACAAACACGAAAGAAAAACAAGTGTTGATGGAAATATGAAGGTCAATCTGTTGTAAAACATCAAATTGGTGTTTTGAAAGCACACATGGGAGTAATGAGCATGGTGAACACACTCAGAGGTGGTACAAGCCATTTATTATAACGCCCACACGGAGATTTGAGTCACTTGGGTGGCGCCACCACACAAGCTGCACTCAAGGTGCGGGAAGATGGGAAGAGGTTTGTCGAGCACAGACTGCCTGGCTGACCGAGGTGATCGACAGAAAGACAGGGCTACTTGCAGGTTCACCTTCTGTGCACTGGCTCTGGGGCAAAGATTGCATGACAGTGATGCGACACTAAAAGCCTTCCTGTCGAGGAGGCAGGCGGATGCCCTCCAATCAAAACAGAGGCTCGGTGACATTTCACAGGGCACAGCTGCTGGGCTACGACAGCATGCCAACTCACTATTTCTGAAGGGTTGTTTGTTTAGTGTTCATGTCACAAATGGGGGGAGTATAGATGGAAGCTCAGCGCCACAACAGTGCACATGTGTGCACACACACACACACACACACACACACACACACACACACACACAGAGTTTTCTTTCCGGTCACTATTTTACTATTCTTATACTTCACACAGGCCGCCTGTTATGTTTCACTCTTATCTGTACTTGTGAAGGTGTGGAAAGATGGATGTGTGCCAGATTTTAATGGGCAAACAAACGTATTTCAGAGCGTGTACAAATTTACACACAGTCTCAACAGGGCAAACATATTATTCCCTTATACCAGGGAAGAGGTTCTCTCTAAAGAAAGCAGGTTCTGTTTTTTTCCCTAAACAGACCAAGACAAAAAAGCAGCACAATTTACTTCTGCAGACTTTATTTTACAACCAGCTAATCCTAAACTTTCAAGACTTGAACTTTATTACTTTCCGCAAATGAAATCCTAATGTAACTAACACGCTGCCCTTACATTAAACAGAAGACCAGAGGGGCATGATTGCATCATATGGGGTATGTTGAGCTGCCCATCAAACTAAACCGGAAACCTGCATTGTGTTAGCCCACAGTCCCCATTTTCAAGACTTGTGCTAACACAATGCAGGAACTCTTATAGTGACATACTCCCATCACCTTAGCCAATAATTGCAAGTCTTGGCGCTCTCTCTTCCAGAAAAAGGCCAGTTCCTTTTATTTCTGGGCCCAGGAGATTTCAGTGGTTTCTTATCCTATTTTGCCCCTGGTGGTGCAGACAGTGGTGAAGTGGGCTCTGTGAGGCAGCCACAGCAGAAGGCAGAGTTAGTATGCGCACATAAAGCTGCTCAAAGCCAGCAGGTATGTGAGGAATGCCTTTTCGTCCAAACAACAGGACTCACGCCTGACAGTGAGCCATGCCACGCCACACAGCACTGTCAGAGCAGCTCCATGGGGCCCGTTGGGGATTCTGCAACTGGATGCCTCCTTATATTACATCTGGCATACTACTTCATTTTAAATGCCTTTACAAATTAATCAACCACTTGGCAAATAGTCTATATTGTTGTTGTTCATCATTTCTGCAACATTGAGGGTAGAAAAAAATAAAATGAAAAAATAAAGATTTGCTGCATCCACCAAGAAGTTGAGGCAATTTGTATAACGAATCCGTTTTTTTATGTCAAGTACAGTCCTAGTGTTACATAAACTGTACGCATGAACCAATTTGTTTTCTGACATGTATCAACAAGAGCGTTTGAAATCTTTGACATATTCTAGGGTCTTTACATAATGTGTGTTGCACAGTTAGGTTTGTTACAAGGTCATGACAACCAGACACCTCGCGGACAAAAACCTCAGCACACATCAAATGTTAGTTGTTTAAATGTTAATCCAGTTATCAAAAAATAAACAAAAGAAAAATAATATAGCACTTAATGGCACAAATTTACCTCTTTTGTGCAGCCATCCCTCCTTGACGATCACCACATTGGTCATGTTGGTGGCCAGGATGGAGGATCCAGGTTTCTCTCAGGGAGAGACGACTCTCAGTCCAAAGTTTCCTTCACTCAACCCTGCGCAGGAGCCTGGAGACGGGGTCCTGGAGTTTATAGCCGTCTTCTCGATGGTGGTTACCTATTAGTTAAAGAAAAGTAAAAATTAGCCCATTGTTAAGGTGAACAATTTTTTCCACTTGTCTGATTATTAACCGTCAGGTCAACGGGGCCGAGGGGAGGCAAGAGAACCGAGAAGAGCCTCGTGTTTTACGGCCCAGTTGGTGAGGGAAGGGTACAAGTACAGTGCAAGTGGAACCTGCAATATTTCAAGGTTCAAATATCTGTAAAGCTGTGGGTTTTGGCAATCAAAATGAAGTCTCCCGTATTGGAAAATTCCATGCTGTTCACTATTGAGGCAGCCGTTCTTGATAGACCAGGAGGTTCCCCCCACTCACGAACAGAGCTGCAGTGAGAAAATAATTATATCAAATAATTCTCAAACAGGATATCCATATAGATTTTCAAACTTTGTGCACAGCTGTTTAATGATTTTTCTAAATCTCAGTTTCACCAAGAAGAACAGATTACTAGGTTTCTACTCCGTGCACGGATGGCATCAAAGTTTAAATCTTGAAAAGGTCTAGTCAAGTTTTATGTTTTTGTGTGCCACATACTAGCCCAGAGGCCCTGTGCTGCAAAGCAGGATTACGGGCATAATGTAGTCACTTCAGGTTTAACCCAGGGTTTTTACTGTTACTAAGGTGGCTCACTTCCCCATGGTAACACATGGTGCAGACCTAACCTGCTCCACAGCAGGTTATGTTTGACTGTTTGACATTACATGTAGAAAATCACCAGCTACGGAACAATCAAATTCTCTGGAAAAATAAGAGTCACCTTTCCTGGAAGATCCCTTGAGCCTCTGTGAGCAGGGTCTAAATTTGATAAAGACCGACTAAAGTGTTTGCGTTTCCCTTACGAGCGTCAATAAGAAATATAAATTCTGGGAAGCAGCTTTATTTCTTGTTTTTTTCCCCAGTTCACTGAAAGTAATTTAAAATAATTTTATTGTTCTCCGAGCCTTAATATAGTCATATGATCTCAAGAAAGGGCACCCAAGCCTTACACTGACAAGGTCAAACTGTTAAACACAGCAGGGCTGCAGCTGAAAGAACATGAGGTTAAATGAGACTACCTTACTCACCTCTGAGTAACAATTGTAATTATGTGCCAGATCCTTCTGTGACTTAATGATAGAGCTGTAATACTGATGAGTCTACTAACTTACACAGTTGGCATTTTTGACAGCCTGGTGTATTGGATTCAAAGGCAAAATAAGGACAACAGCAGATGTGGCAGATCTAAAACATCTATACAGCACATGGACAGTATCTGAAAGTCATGTTCTTAAGAAATATGGAACATATTAATTTTAATTATTTATTTTTTGCAGGACCAAGAGCTCCAAAACAAAAATGACTCTACAGAAGTAGAGGCGCACCAACGTAATGGCTCCATAGTGTAGATGTTTATACGCCCGCTTCACAAGCTAAAGGTCGCTGGTTTGATGCCAACGGGATACACAAATCCCTTTTGAAGTTGTGTCAAGAAAGACATCTGGTGTAACTGTACCAAACCAAACATTCAGGGATGCCCACTGTGGTGATCCCTGTGGCAAGGGCCAATCATTGACATTCACCTCACTGATTGCTGTGAGTCAATCAGCAAATAGGACGATACTCAATAAAGGCAGTGACTGATGTTTACCTGTTCTACTCCATCCCAGTCCTTATATCTGGGATCCATTTTCAGAAAATGGTTTGTGAATTTATACTCTTTAAAAAGATATAAATATATTCCAAGTACATAGTGTGACAAGGAACTGAAACACACTTAATCCCTCCTCACAGTATGCATTTATAGTGACAACTTCTGTGTTTGCAACTAAGACATCAAACTGGACTGACCTACCAACACACATATGCAATCTGCCAGTTGTTAGTTTCAATGTTGGCCCAGCATTTCAAAATTATTGCTTCCCTTATGCTTCCACCTATTTTTTCGCCCTACTGATCCAATTCATGGTTGTGGGGGTGCTGGAGCCCATCACTGCTGTCAAAGGGTGAAAAACAGGGTACAACCTGCACAGGTTCCCAATCTGGTTGAATCCAGGCTGGGGCTTTTTTGTGCAGATTTTGCATGCACTCCAGCTTCCTCCCACAGTCTGAAGACATGCGTGTTAGGTTAACTGGATTTTAAATTAACATCCTTTATATTAACATCAATGTAATTTCCTTGTGAGTAAGAATGACTTTACACTGACAGTTGTTTTTAAAAAAAAAAAAAAAAAAAGACCCCGCTGCCGTGCTCTAGCAAGAGATTTGCGCTAAAGCACACTTCTATGTGGTTGGATGGTATTAACCAACACGGAACTGTTTTGCTTAAAAACAAACAAACAAACAAACAAACAAACAAGTGCTATATAACAGCTCAGATTCAAATATATTACAAGATTTAAAAAAAATAAAATAAAATAAAAAATTCCTAGTAAAAAGCTTCCTTGTAAATCCTAGGTAACTAGATTTGCTAAACGATAATATAACATTGATTATGTGATTTTTTTCTTTTTATACAAGAGTACCGTTGCAAGGTGGCAGATGATGGCGGTCATGTGATGTTGTCAAAACCCTTCAACAGTTACAGTGCTGCTCCTAAACAGACCTCCAGGTGAGACTGTTTTGACAACAGAACAAAGTGAATAAACTATGAGGTCAAGGTGTGCTTCTTATACAGGGAGTGCAGAATTATCAGGCAAATGAGTATTTTGTCCACATCATCCTCTTCATGCATGTTGTCTCACTCCAAGCTGTATAGGCTCGAAAGCCTACTACCAATTAAGCATATTAGGTGATGTGCATCTCTGTAATGAGAAGGGGTGTGGTCTAATGACATCAACACCCTATATCAGGTGTGCATAATTATTAGGCAACGTCCTTTCCTTTGGCAAAATGGGTCAAAAGAAGGACTTGACAGGCTCAGAAAAGTCAAAAATAGTGAGATATCTTGCAGAGGGATGCAGCAGTCTCAAAATTGCAAAGCTTCTGAAGCGTGATCATCGAACAATCAAGCGTTTCATTCAAAATAGTCAACAGGGTCGCAAGAAGCGTGTGGAAAAACCAAGGCGCCAAATAACTGCCCATGAACTGAGAAAAGTCAAGCGTGCAGCTGCCAAGATGCCACTTGCCACCAGTTTGGCCATATTTCAGAGCTGCAACATCACTGGAGTGCCCAAAAGCACAAGGTGTGCAATACTCAGAGACATGGCCAAGGTAAGAAAGGCTGAAAGACGACCACCACTGAACAAGACACACAAGCTGAAACGTCAAGACTGGGCCAAGAAACATCTCAAGACTGGTTTTTCTAAGGTTTTATGGACTGATGAAATGAGAGTGAGTCTTGATGGGCCAGATGGATGGGCCCGTGGCTGGATTGGTAAAGGGCAGAGCTCCAGTCCCACTCAGACGCCAGCAAGGTGGAGGTGGAGTACTGGTTTGGGCTGGTATCATCAAAGATGAGCTTGTGGGGCCTTTTCGGGTTGAGGATGGAGTCAAGCTCAACTCCCAGTCCTACTGCCAGTTTCTGGAAGACACCTTCTTCAAGCAGTGGTACAGGAAGAAGTCTGCATCCTTCAAGAACAACATGATTTTCATGCAGGACAATGCTCCATCACACGCGTCCAAGTACTCCACAGCGTGGCTGCAAGAAAGGGTATAAAAGGAGAAAAACGAATGACATGGCCTCCTTGTTCACCTGATCTGAACCCCATTGAGAACCTGTGGTCCATCATCAAATGTGAGATTTACAAGGAGGGAAAACAGTACACCTCTCTGAACAGTGTCTGGGAGGCTGTGGTTGCTGCTGCACGCAATGTTGATGGTGAACAGATCAAAACACTGACAGAATCCATGGATGGCAGGCTTTTGAGTGTCCTTGCAAAGAAAGGTGGCTATATTGGTCGCTGATTTATTTTTGTTTTGTTTTTGAATGTCAGAAATGTATATTTGTGAATGTGGAGATGTTATATTGGTTTCACTGGTAAAAATAAATCATTGAAATGGGTATATATTTGTTTTTTGTTAAGTTGCCTAATAATTATGCACAGTAATAGTCACCTGCACACACAGATATCCCCCTAAAATAGCTCAAACTACAAACAAACTAAAAACTACTTCCAAAAACATTCAGCTTTGATATTAATGAGTTTTTTGGGTTCATTGAGAACATGGTTGTTGTTCAATAATAACATTATTCCTCAAAAATACAACTTGCCTAATAATTCTGCACTCCCTGTAGTGAAGATTGAGAGATGCACACACACTTGAGCACCTTCAAATAAAAGCATAGCCTCCAGCAGAAGAATTATCAAAGTGTTATTAGGTCTTAGGACAATTCAAAATACCAGAAATGGCCACAATACTATCCTGGTTACATAGTAAACACATGTAAAGGTATAAAGAAAAATGTATGACTAAAGGGCAGATAGTAAACCCAACTAAAAACCTAAATTTGGGAGAAAGATCACACTACAGTAGTAGCTGCAATAGCTCACTTGTTAAAGCAGAAGTCAAATAAGGCAGTAAAAACTGTACTAACAGTCATCCAAAAACTGTCAAGACTACCATTAGACTTCAAACCTGCAGGCTATCATAACCAAAGCACTTGACCCTTTCCTTCATTCAGTATTTCTTTGTGATATAAAGATAGCTTTGAATAAAGGGAAGCAGCCAAAAGATGATCAATTGCAATGCTTGTTCACATAAATGTCACATACTGCGCCAGGCGATCCCTGACCATCGGCTGAAATCAATGTCCCTGCTGCTCCATCAGAGCCAGGCCATCAAAAGAGAGCTCTGTTTGAGTGGCCTCATCCAGCTAACTGGTGGGGACAACAACAGGAAGTGAATGTGACTATTGACAGACAACGAGTCATATCAGTACAGCCTCAGGCTCGAATACATCTGGCAGCGCGTGTGCAATCAACACCTTTTACTGCCACTCTGCTCCCCTCCATCAGTGAGCAAAAGTAAGTTTATGAAGCCAAAGTTTATTTTCGCTCAGTGTTTTTGTTTATTGCACTTGGGGTTGTGGTGGTTGTGTCACACAGCTGATGTTGGAAGGATCCTGGAGAGGGATTTGAGAGAGAAAAAAAAAAAAAGCACACAGAGTGCAATTCAAAGTAAGGATCACAAAACCCGTTGGATCCCATCGGCATCTTAGTGTGGACTCTGTGACACAGGCACGCACACATTATATACACCTCACAAACAAACTTGAGCGCACACACGCCGCAGCCAAAAAAGCAACACATGCACAAGTCCGGCTCTGGAGCCACAACAGAGCGCTGCTGTTTTAATGGGAGCGACCTGTTGCTACTGCGGCCTGTGTGTAAAAAGCTGGGCTGCAGCCAGCAGCCACTGAATGAACCCAGTACCCTGACGGCGGGTCACATGGTCCTCAGGCCTCTGGGCCACCGCCTGCCTGCCTGCCCTGATGTCAGGGCGGCTTTCAATCATTCATCTTTCTGGCTCCAACGCCGGGGGCCACCCCATTCAATGCAAATCAGTGTCATGCAGCAAAAGTTGCCACACACTGAGCTTGTCACTGAGCCAGAGAGGATAGTCCCATGTGTTTATAGCAGGAAGCAAGGGGGGAGAAGAGAAAAAAAAAAAAAAAAAAAAAAAAAAATCAGGTCGACATCACCACGCTACTTCCTTCATCACAGATTCATAGATACCATTTTTTTGCTTCAGTTTCTGCTCGGTTAACAGAAAAAACTACCACATGGTTTATGTTTCCAAAAGTAAAACATTACACTGAAAGTATTTAAAAACACAAGAAATGACATCACGCTAACCTGTTGCTGAAAAACAAGTCGCCAAAGCAACACTTTAGTTTGAGCTCAAATGCCACAGTGGAGCCAGTAGTACGGTGATCTACTACGCTACCAAGTTCCTCTTTCAAGTTCCCTGAAAGCACAACATTATTGATAAGAATATTGCGGGCAGCTTTAACTGAACACAAAACCGCAGTGACTGCAACCTTGAAAGGCAAGCAGAGTGGCCGCTTTAATCCTGCGATGACACGAACACCAACCACTTTATGACTCACGTTAATGTAATCATATTCAGGCTGTTCAGACAAGCTGTAAAAGCAACACAATGCTTAATTTATTCAAATCACACACACACACACACACACACACACACACACACACACACCACACACACACACACACACACACACACACACACACACACACACCATTATAGGAAAGTTAACACAGAAAAGCAAAAGGAAAACAAAAGTAATTTGTTTTCCAGGTTTTCAGTTTTTGTGACACAGATTGAGAATTGTGACGTCCAGGACACCGGTACGAGAACCATCTCTTTCTCAGTCTCAGTACATCCAGACTCTGGTGATGCGTCCAGGCCCCTGTCTGTCCGTTTTGGACAAAATTTCAAACAACATTCCTCAGATTCTGCATGTAACTGGTAGCAGATTTGCGTCAACTGAGCTGCTTTAGGGGATTGGGTGGGAGGTGGGTGGTTTTTTTCTAAACAGAACAGTGAGAGCCAAGCAGTCACTGGCTGCATCATTGCGCCAGCTTGTTGCGTCTTCCCCAGGTCACATGCCAAATCCCCTTGCGTACACACACACTGGACAGACGTAGTCTCATGACCGATAAAAACATTTTTTAACACTGAAGGCATGGTGGGTACAACACACCCGGGGACAATGTTCTCTTTTTAGTACATGCATGCACCCTGGGAGAAGGAGACAGACATATTATTAGCAAAATAAGTTTTAAACATGATTGCAAGCCTTGCATCCTGCAAGAATACTTTTGAAATTTGAAAGCGCCATCAGATTTGTATGCCCTTGATATCTCTCAAACTTGATAAGAATACTATAATAATAATAATAATAATAAAAAAAACCTTTATGACAAAAAACTATTGAGTGCAGACCTACACAACTGTCATTACTGTAGGTGGGATGCTAGCAGTGAGGCCAGTGAAACCTATCAAAACACACTTATCCACAGGCATTATCCCGTTGTACTGATTACTGGGGGCGTTAAATTACACTGTTGGGACTTTTTCTTATGACGTCTGTGTCTAAATTGTGGACCAAAAAGTAAACGCGTGGCAACAAGTCACAACAGACTCATAACTTTTTCTTTTTTGGAAAGCAGCACTGTTTGTGGCCACAGCAGCTTCTCGGCAGGCAGGCAGCAAAGCTAATGGCTAAAGATAAGATGGCAATAAGTGCCTCACTCAAACAAGTAAACAAACGCGGTGGTAGTTCACAACAATGAATGAGCTGCTCTCTCTTGTTGAGCTCATTTGTTTTCATTTCCCTCCAGGACCATAAAGCACAGCGCAAAAAAACAAAACAACTTTTTTCCCGCAAAGAGGAGAACCGTTTGAAGCGACTTGACTGCAGATATTTTGGCCCGAGGGTTGTGTCTCAAAAGTGGTCATTGTCAAAAAAAAAAAATATTTAAAAAAAAAATGAATGGTTAACATCTTAAAGAGACGCACTGCTGTTTGTGGAAAAACCCCGAGCGTTAAGACTTCACTACAGGAAATTAATGAGTCGTCGACTTTTTTTCGTCATAAGACAACTTTTTACGGCGAAGTGAAGTCAGGAAAGTACCTCATTTCAGGTTTGCATCTAGCGCTAGAAAGGATATGGGGCCTAGCAGGGCAGCTTGGGTGAGAATAACCGCATCCCATGTAAGTACAATGGGGACCTACCCTGTCTAGCTGTCGAACTCTTGTAGTTAACCATGCGAAGGAAACGCGGACATTTACCTGGACAGGAATTCAACAATGTGTCCGTCTCATTATAGTGAGCTGTTTCGGCGGTGTTTTAAGTTGACGGGTCCTTCAACAATCTGGACAAAGTGCTCTCATTTACTCCGTTTCTCTTGCCTTTCTTCCACTACACCTCCCAAACGCGCTGTCTGCAATGCCTCTGTGGCAGCCGTCTCTCCCGGGTCCTAAAGCCGCCCTTAAATGAGTCACACTCACAGGAGGAGTAGTAGGCTGTCAGCGTCCCATTGAAGAAAAAAAAAACCTGCAGTGGTGCTTCTTCTGCATGGCCTTGTTGAACTCTCTGCTCTTTTATCTGTGCCGGTGGTTTCCAACATGGGTTTCGGGGACCTGCCGAGGACCTTGTATGTTTTTTAAGGGATCCTCGCTTCAATTAAGTGTACTTACGTGGGTTTTTTGACTTCCTGGAACAACCACAAGGGTAATGTAGGCTACAAGACGAGAATTACATTTTGGTACCGGCTCTACCTGCTCTGCAATGAGCTATATTAGGGTTCCAAAAGGTGCTTCTAGTCATCAATCATCTGTAATTATGTATTACTTTTTTTTTGTCTTTTTGATTACATTTTTTTTGTTCACAAAATATACACAAATATTCCCAGTTAGTCCAGATGTTGTATATTAGTGCCTTACAAAAGTTCAAAATTACAGTCTTGCAAAGTTTTCTATAAGAAAAGACTAAGAAAAACGTTTTTAGAGCTAAACTGGTTCATTTAGTGTATGTTATTGTTATTTTATCATTTCACATCTGCCCTGTTATTTAATAACCTTTAAAATTATATTACAATAAAATGTTTTATGTTCACAAAACTCCTTCTAGGGTTTTAAACAAGTTAAGCTGCAGCTGTATCTGAAAGAAAAGTACAAGTTTGTCACCGTGTCATTGTTTCAAGCAAGTTGTATTTGATGTGTAAACTTGTTAACATCGAAAATAAAGTTATAATAAGTCAAATTAGGTCAAAGTAAATAAAGCTTTATGCAAAATAAGGTCAACAAGCCAATCAAAACCACAAAAACAAAACAAAAGGTTATGCACCTTAAAACTGTGTAAAGAGCCGTGCTTCTAAAAGGTGAAGCTCTAGCTCTAGTTTCAGATATGGTTCTTTCAGACACATGTGTAGCCTTGTGTAATCTAGTAAAATTATATTAAAATCACTACTAAAGAAGAAACCATAAGCAGGATGTGCTGCTGCTTCCATTCTGTTGCACGTCAGTGCTAAAGCATCAGGCTCGGTGGTGGACTTTTACACGTTCGATCACCTGGTTCCAGTCGCATCTGCCAGTACCAAAAAGCAGCAACTTTCACAGCAACTTTCTCTTCAAGTTGCTGTGGAGGGGCCTCTGACATTTCCAGGAAATGCCAACTAAACATGAAGTGTGAGAATGTCTCAGTCTGACACACTTAAAACAAAATACTTCAATATGGGTAAAGCAGATGTGCTGAACACAAGAATGTGTTTGCAGAAGTGTATTTAGTCTGATTTAGCCCTTGCCACTGATCTTTTTGTATTCATGCAGATACTCTCTTAAATTAACTGCATATACCAGATGAAACAGCTGAACGAGAAAGTAAAAATCTTGTGGATTGTTCATGATTACATGCCACACTTTTACCTGTTGTGGTAGATAAACCGTCATCTACAGCTACAGAGAACTCCACTGGAGAGGTAGGAGTTAAACCAGTTTTGGACAGGTACAGACAAGCCAGCTCAGTCTGCTTAAAAGAAGTCAGGGAGCCTATGTATCAAATGACGCCCTCAGATGACTGGGTTTACTTGATCAAAATGTTTCTAACTAGAAGTCTAAAACATTTTAGAGACCTCCCATTTTAACATTTCCATTATCTTGCTTTACGCCGTGATACTCCTGACCCTCTTCACGTACGTTTAGTCTTACCCCTTCATTATTTTTCTATCCCCAAGCATGGTGTAGTTGACTGCCTCAAAGTTGAATCAGCATTAGAAGTGCAGTAAAATATATGTATCACTTATAAAAGCAAGCATGTGACAGTTCCCGCAATAATGACTTAATAATATTAAAAGAAAAGGATAGCAGGGAAACGCTGCCAATGTTTCCTCTGTGATGAAAAATTCATTGGCTTGTGCCCTCTGTCTCTCAGCCTCCTCTGCTGTCATTTCCCCTCTTTGTCACTCATGCTGTAATGTGTTTCTCACTGCTACCATGCGTCAGCCTCGCCAAGCTGTTCCTGTCATACAGGCAAAGCTGACTTAGGGTATCCCATATTTTCTCCAGTTGCTATTCATTGGTGCTCTCCTCCTCCTCCTCCTCCACCCGCTGTCTCTGGCCTGTTGATGGGAATGCCCAATCTGTTGTTTTGCGGGATCAACCGTAACAGTAACAAGATTAAAAAGTCAAAGTGAGTTAATAGCATCTCTCCCATCAAAGGCTCATCCGATCTCTGATCCCTGTCTACTTGCAGTATCTGTCTAGAGTACAACAAACAGTACAGAACAGAACTTAATGGCCCGTTAAAGGAGAATAGATAACACGCGGTAACAACAATTAGACACAGAAGGGCAGAAGGGCCATAATAGGGAGGAGGTGATTGTGTGAATGGATACGTGGGGCGGTGGGGAAGCTGACCAAAACGGCATCTCCAGTCAACTACAAAGCAATAAACTGTTACACTATTAGATGAATGTAATATTAAAAAAAACAAAGCGAAAAAATCACACAACTATTGTTGTATAAATTGCGTGTAAAACAGCAGCATCAGGACAGATAGGTATAAGAGATACTAAAAGTATGTGAGTGATATAGGGGCACTTATTTTATTTAACCAGTGCAGCTGTTGTGATAAATCACCCCTAGAAGATATACACATCTGATTACCAGTCAGCCTTGCTTGTAAAAGCTGGCAAATGTTTTAATGTGATTCCAGCATGCTATTTCCAAAAAAGTTAGGGTCAACATAAGAAAAACCCTAAAACATCTGGTGGCTCATCTTACAGCTACAGTTAGGTTGACTGGCAACAGGTAAATGATATAATATATTGCTGTAAAGTTAGCCTCCTAGAGAGTGAAACATCCATGAAGGACTGCATGGGAAACTAATTGAAAAGTTTAAGGATTGCCACCTCGACTGTTTCTGCTAGATGTCTCTTCCTGTTAAAAGGGAGTTTTTCCTTCCCACTGTCGCCAAGTGCTTGCTCATAGAGGGTTGTCTGATTGTTGATGGTTTTTTTCTCTATTATTGTAGGAGGTTTACCTTACAATATAAAGTGCATTGAGGCGACTGATGTTGTGATTTGGTGCTATATAAATAAAACTGAATTGAATTAAATTTTGCAACTCATGAACTTGAGAATTTTCTTTGGTATGCAATATTATTAAAAGAGGTAGACATCGCAGGGAACTCTTTGTATGCAGAGGACTAGGCCAAAGACTAAGACTCACTGCATTGGAAACAAACACAATTCTGAAGTGAAAGTCTGAAGTAAAAATTCAAAAGGAACACTTTTGAAAACTATTTTAAGCAAACAGACAATCATTTATTGTTTTATTCAAAAATCCAAGTTAAACTCTGAATGGCAAAGGAAAAAAAATACTTATGAACAAGATGGAAAATTCTACTGCCTTCTCTGGGTCTGAAGGCCTTTATTATGCACTGAGTTAAAGTAAAAGACAAAACTACTGTGCTGTGGTTAAAAAGTTTTAATTCCTTTCAAAAACAATGGAAGACGTGTCCTCCCAGCTGAGAGAGAGTCCATCCAGATGATCTGCAAACAGTTCAGAAGCCAGCATCTGTGATAATGAGGAAGTGAATTTGTGCACAGGGTGCAGAGGGTACGGGTAACTTTCACATCTTTAAAATCACCATTAATTCTGAATGAATATATATGCAGGGTTTTAGAACATGTGCTACCATTCATGTATTTTTCAGGAGGATGGCACTAGACCATTTACTGGACATATTATAACAGCGGGGCTACAGTAAAAGAATCCAGGTGTTAAACCGATCCGACTTAACTCTGAAACTGGAAATGTGGAAAGTTACGGAACTAAAATGACAAAGCAGAAGGCTGCGAATGGCTAAAGAGCTGAAATCTTATATCAAACAAGCACGGAAATACATTTGGCTTACAAAACTGCAGTAATTGATCTCTCCGGTTTCACGACACCACAGTGGCAAACATCCTCCTATCCCACTTTTTCTTTAAAGACATAAGCATATATTTTTCAAATAAACAAAGGAAAACCATAACATCTCAGCTTTTTATTTTGTTGCTGTTGTGCTATTATTAATTAAAATCTGGGTTAAAAGGTTTTGCAAAGCTTTGTTTTGAATTCTCTGTCAGTAACATAAAAGATGCACCTGTTTAAAAAAAAAAAAAGGTAATTTGATTAAATCTGCATGGCCAGTGAGAGTGAAAAAACATCACTCTCCCCAATATTAAAACCATTTCAAAAGAACATAAACTTTAGTGCCCTTATGGAGATGCATTAAAAACACCGTCAAACAGACACCACCAGCACAGCTTAAACCCACAGCTATGATCAGACTCTGGTCCAGCAGGGAGAGTGATGTGGTTCAACTGTGGCTGGATGGCTGGCTGGTTGGCTGGTCAGGCTACATTGGAATGCAGGGTCTTTTGTTTGTCTGAGAGAGGAGTGGGTCAGGGAGAGAATGCCATTGATGATTGCAGAGAAGAAGAATGAACCTCCAGGAAGTGTTCTCTCTCTCTCCCTCTCCCGACTCCCCCGCTCTCATTCTCTCTGTCTCTCTTTCCCTATCTTTTTTTTTCTGTGTGTGAGAACCTTCACCGTGCCGAGCCTCTCTCTGCTGAGGCCACAGTCCCCAGGCACAACCACTGCTTTGTCTTGCCCTGTGAACACACACACACCCCTCCTCTACTGGGTGCCTACGTTTGCCAGGGCCAGGGAAACACAGGGCCACTGCTCCTATTCTTATCCACATCACTGCTCCTGCTTGGATGGAGTGTTTGTGTGGGCATCAGTGCTTGAATGGTGAATTGTTTTTTGTATGTGCCACACATCTGACTAAACATTTAGTTTGTCGGATGTTCAGCTATAAATGAGAAATCATCCATTCTCTTGCCATCTTTTTTAGAGAGCGTGACAGCGTTTCCCTTACAATTATCTGGAGATGACCTCGGTGCAGATATCCTCCTGTTGTACCAGTAACAAATGAACTAAAAATGGAATAAAGCGGTAAGTGGATAAGAATCTAGCGAGTGGCCCCTTCTGACCAGTGGCTGCCACCTCCCGTCACATTGCTCATTCCCCTCTGTGTCAGAAGCGCTGTGAGGAGCTGCAAATGGCCCTTTCAAAACGCACGACAGCTGGAACACAGGGCAAAGGTGACCGAAGCTGTTGGGGGAGCACAGAGAGGGACAGGATTTTATTTTTTTTGGGGGGGGGGGCGCACATGATGAGCAGCTGCACCAGCGAGTTGTTCCTCCACCGTGCCACCATCTCTAATGATTAAAAGTGTCTGAAATAGATGACAAATTTTTAGAGTAAATCCTAGAAGTCACCTTACTTTTAAGACAGTTTAACCAAACACACACACACACATGTATATACACTCCTGGTTGTCTTGGGAAAAATAAATCCCCTGGGTGTTGGTTTGGTATCTGGAAATTCCAAAACTCAAGGCAGGCTTAGAGGATACTAAGTCCTTATAAGTTTCCCGCTCCCCCGAAAATACCACTGACCTTCTGTGCTACAATACATTTCTTTGATCACTTTATAGATACTTTTACAGATACCAATTCTGTTGGAGAAAGAAGTATTTCTTTTATTCACAACATGACCTGAAAGCCACAAAGAACATTTTTATGTGTGCTTGAGGTTTGCAAGTTAATTAATCACATTTTAAATCTGGAGCTTAACTTTAAACAGGCTCGAATACTCTTAAGAAAATCGTTTTTCTCCTATTAAACTGCTTCCTTGTAGCTTTACCGAACAAACAAACCAGTTTTAGTGTAAAAAAATGTCTACTGTGTCATGTGCAATTCCTCCATTTGTCCACTTCCATCATGCTGCCATACAAAAGGCGACACATCACAGTGCCCCCTCCCTCTTAATAGGACAGGTGTTTTAATAAGACAGCCAATTGATGCCCCCACCCTCCTCCTCCCAAGTATTCTGCTACTTGCTGCCGCTGTGTGAATTCGCGGAGTAGTACAGAACTTATTGTGGCGGCGCGATATCGCGAGATTTGTGCCATTATCAACCTGCTTGACACACAGCAGCGCTGAGTGCAGCCTGCCTTCCCAGGGTCGGGACTGGAGCTCAAGAAACGACAAGGAGAAGCGAACATCTGGCCGCACATCATGAAAGGACACCGGGGCTTATAGGGACAAAAAGACGACGAAGCGGGCAGAAATACGTGTGAGTACGGCGGGATATTTTTTCTGTGTGTGTGAGCTTTGAAACGAGGAAAGCGAAAGTTAAAAGAGTGTCCCCGCGCCGCTTCGTTCAGCGCAGTTGGCTTTTTACTGTGTGAGTTCCTCTGCTGTTTAAAAGGCTCCCAGCAATGCGTTTCCCAACGCGGACGTGAAGCTCGCTCCACTGCGCCCTTGGCCCCTTTTTTCCTGCGAACACTTTTCTTCACCTTTAGAAAAAAAAATCTTAATTGCGTACAAAATCATAAGACTTCTACGCAGCTTAACTTTAACTTACTTTAACTTGCCGTATCCCTCTTTCTTCTTTAAACCGACCCATTTAAACACGGTTGTGTGCGCGCGAGTCTTATCAGGGAGCAAAAAAAACGCAACAAAGCCTTTTTACTGTAACCCACGGATGCGTGATAAATTACTTAGTTTTGAAGAAAAAAGTTGTAAATGCCGTGGAATCTCGTGACAACAGTAAATCTGCTCTCCCCCCTTGAGGTGTGTATTTTTTATCTTCTTTTTGGACTGTGTAGCCCGGAGTTAACATATGGCATAAAGGGGAGCACAGCTGGAGGTAGCGTTTCCATTGCGGTGATGTCAGAGCAGCTGACTCCACAGCTTGCAGTGTAATTAGCAAACAGAGCACCAGTTTACTCACTCTGCACCGGTCTTATTTTGCTCACGTTGCCTCCTTCCCCCGATGGTCGAGTGCTGTCGCTCCCAGTCCCGCTTTGCTTGTCCTGTAAACACCGCTGTGTGTGTGTGTGTGTGTGTGTGTGTGTGTGTGTGTGTGTGTGTGTGCGCGCGCGCACTTTGGCTATTTTTTTTTTCGGAAGCGCGAGGGCTAGGCTGTCGGACTACACTACTACAGACCGGAATAATTTGGAGAGTGGATCCGTTTACACCGTGATACATGGGTGGGTGGGCGAGCGCAGCGCAGTGTGTCCTGCACCACTGGAAAGAATGTTGGATAAAGTTACTGATGCTGATCATTAGCTAGATGTTTAATCTTTCCCGATTAATTCCCGAAAAACCTTGTAAACTTGCATTTGAAAGCACTTTATCGTGTGTTTGCTGACACTTTTGCGCAATTTGGCTCAAGTTATTTCCTTGTGTATGGTTTTGCTCGCTTTATGTGTCCTTAGAAAAAAGAAACGGCAGCTCAACTGTGCCCTCATTTCGTTTATCCCGTATCCTGTTTTTCCTGTTTTTCATCAGGTTATGAAGGAAGAATGGAGTTCCCAGACCATAGCCGCCAGTTGCTGCAGTGTCTGAGTCAGCAGCGTCACCAAGGTTTCCTCTGTGACTGCACTGTTCTTGTTGGGGAGGCTCGATTCAAAGCGCACAGAGCCGTGCTGGCCTCCTGCAGCATGTACTTCCATCTCTTCTACAGGGACCAGCTAGACAAAAGGGACGTTGTGCATCTCAACAGTGACATTGTGACAGCCCCGGCTTTCAGTCTGCTCCTTGAATTTATGTATGAGGGGAAGTTGGAATTCAGCGCTCTGCCTGTGGAGGATGTCCTGGCAGCAGCCAGTTACCTCCACATGTACGATATAGTCAAAGTGTGCAAAGGCAAGCTTAAAGACAAGGAACTTTCCTCCCTGGATGAAAAAATGGGAGAGGGTTTGGGGCTCAGCTGTCTGGACAGGGAAAATTCCTCAGATGGTGAGCTGCACAGTAAGCAGCTCATTCAGCGACAGCCCCAGACACCGTCTCAGGGGCTTCACAGGGCCCCCCCGGCGGAAGAGTTTGACATGGACAACACTGAAGTCAGGCTGGCTGTCACAGATTGTGATAGGTCTATGCAGAGCAGGCAGAAGGCAAACGGTCACTCTGGCAGGTCCCCGGACCTTGTAGGTGTCAATTATGTGTCAGCAGAGGCCGAGCCCTGCGTCCAAACAGCTGGAAAAACAAAAGCTGATGTCAGTAGTTCCACCGTATTGCTGTCCCAGAGGTCCCAGGCTTCAGATGACATGGACTGTGCACTGGATTTGTCTTTCAAGCCTCTGTCTAGCAGAGATCCCTTACACCCCTCCTACGTCTCGGGACAGCTGGCCCTCGACAGCCAGCAGCAGGGCACTGAGCCACTTGTTAAAGACGAACACGACTTGCTGTCAGAGCAGGAGGACAGTGAGCCGATGAGCCCTGAGAGCCAGCGCTTTGGGAATAGTGCCAGGAGCTCAGTGGTGACAGGGTTCGCTGCCCTCTTCCCAGGCAACAACGGTTCCACAGCCGCCCTGCTCTCCCAGGAGGAGGACCTGATGGACGAGGAGGGGGAGGCCTGCAGAGGGAGGGAGAGCGCCCCAGGCAGGGAGGTGGATGGGAGGGGTAGACTGCTGGGGGACAGCGAGGAGGAGGAGGAAGACGACTTGGCCTCTTCAGACATTTCCACCTCCAGTGGAGTACTGCTGCCCCCGGGGCAACAGGTGTGCATGTGTCCCCTCTGCAGCAAAGTCTTCCCCAGCCCCCACGTGCTGCAACTGCACCTCAGCTCACACTTCCGCGAAAAGGACGGTGCCCGTTCCAAGCTGTCCCCCGACGGCTCGGTCCCCACCTGCATGCAGTGCAACAAGACCTTCTCTTGCATGTACACCCTTAAGCGTCACGAGCGCACACACTCTGGTGAGAAGCCATATACCTGTGGTCAGTGCGGCAAGAGCTTCCAGTACTCCCACAACTTAAGTCGGCACGCTGTAGTTCACACACGGGAGAAGCCTCACGCCTGCAAGTGGTGCGAGCGGCGCTTCACCCAGTCTGGGGACCTCTACCGCCACATCAGGAAGTTTCACTGTGGCCTTGTCAAGACTCTCGCCATCGGATAAAACGCCTCTCACCGGTGCCACGACACAAGACAGAATGTCTCTTTCATACACTGAATACTACTACTGATCAATTTTCCCATTACTATATAAACATGCTGGCAGTTTGTCTGAGACATATCTTTTGGATTCTATCCCCACGTGGCATTTCTCAAGTTAAACATGTAGCAACGTTTAAGCTGTTTCCTGTGCTGGACTGTCATCATAGCTGTACATGATGGTAAAAGACGGTTAGTCAGTGGCACAGGCTGATAAGCTTGACACGGATGCTGTTGAAAAACATCAGATCAGTGTCAATGAAGGCGAACAAATCAGATGATGCACTTGTTTTCCTGTCTTTTGTGTCAGTCTGAGATTATTTGAGGTGTGTATTTGCCGATAGATGAGGGGAAAAAAAGCATCTTGCGTTCACACTCTGTGGGCAACTGGATGATAGCTAAAGCTAACATACGTTAATACAATCGTCAAAGTTTATTGGTGCACATGGGAGATCAGAACCGTCCGCGAGTAGCAATATATGATTATTTTTAACACCTACATTATTCTAATTATTTATTTGGGGGGATTTGTTTAGTCCTTAACAAGTAAACTTATCACAAGGCAGCAAAAGTAATGAAGTCTGACTACTGGAAGTATTCTTTCTTTCTTTCTTTCTTTCTTTTTGTGGAGGTAAAATGTTTGGTTTCATTGAAATGAAGTTTCTATGTTGTTTTTGTGAGAAGAGGCAAGCATACCATCGCACCAACACCACCTCTTTAGTTGTTCACGTGAGCGAGCGTAGAATACCCACTTAAAGAGGTTAAGAGTATTTTAAAGGTAACCCCTGTAACACTGGTGCCTACTGTAACGCTCAAAACTTCACTTAGTGTACTTACAAAGACAAGAATGAGATGACAATGTGATGCCTTTTGGTTAAATTCAGTTCAGCTGTCAGGCATCTAAAAAAAAAAAAAAAATCTGGATTACACTCCACATACCAGGTAGTAACAAAGGTAATCCTCTACTGTGGAAGCCAGTTAATCCGTGAGTGCCCTTAATAAAATTAGAATGTAATAAACCAAACTTATGTCAACCTTTTTGTCAAAAACGCACAGTTGTGAGTAAATACCTTCATTTCTTAGTTTAAAGGGTTTGCTGACAGTGTTCGGGACAGGCTCTTTAGCAGGCAGATGGGGGATGGAAGGAGACAGGTGGATGTCCAGTATCTTCTCTATTGTTACCATCAAAGCTGTGCCATTCAGCTTAATCTACTGACCTTTTCTTTTTCATAACCTTTTCACACAAATTTACTGGATGTGTTTTAAGTTGCTACTGAGGACGTTGGAGCCTTTAGCGATGCTGCTCTTGGATTTCTTCTGTCTGTTCATTTAGATGCTGTTTGGATTTATTACCAGGGGGTGTAGCACTAAAAGTTCATGATTTTTGTCTAATCTGTCCTGAGAAGACTTGATCGGAATTTATTTATTAGTCTGACTTGGTTCAGGGGTTTACTGCAGCGGTAGCTCTTATTTCTATAAGCTTGAAAGACATTGCATCTTGCCTAGCGATCTTGGTACTCATTAGCTGTTGTTTTTTTGGGGCAGACTGTCCACTTTTTGTTTTGTTTTTTCTGTGCAAATTGAAGTTACTGTATTTGTATTTTAATATATGGTGTAGAAATCTCTACGGAGTATTCAAGATTTGTCAAACGGAATATAGAGAAGCACTTGATTTTAGCATGCATATAGTTTCAACACTATTGTCTAGGCTGCTATTTCCTACAATTTGTATATTTAATGTAAATATATATTATATTTATCAAATGATTTTTTTTTTTTTTTTCCATGTTACAACCCATTTAAGATTTGGATAGCCAGGTGTCATGTTTAAGGCTGGAGACTCTTTAGCGTCACATTTTCCCCGGGGGGCTGGAGGTTTGGCTCTTTTTCCATATTCTTCATTGACTTTATTGGACCCTGCCTCACCACAAATCAGAGCAGTAAATACTGCTAGGATGGCTGTTCTACCAGAAGAAACAGTTGTTCACAAGCACAGCCACACCAATACAGCACTGGGTACCTATAGAAATGACAATACAGGTATTGTCGTCGTCCCCCAAAAGCGGTTCAAGTCTCTCTTTGCACTTTCTGAATGGAGCCACTGGAATGTGAGAAATGTATTTAGCAAAGGGAGGCCAAGGAGATTGTAAACAGGTGTATTGTTTGGAGGCATCAAAGAACACCCCTACCCCCCTTTGTCATCCCGGCATGCAGTAGATAAATGCTTCATTGTTCCTCTGCATTGAGGAGATATCAGCGTCATTTGGTTGCGCATCAATCAAGAGTATTGCCCACCCCCTCCCCTCAGTGTTTAAAAAAAAAAAAGAAAAGAGAAAAAGTTCAAATTTAAAATGCTTTTTCAGTCAGTACGACCTTTAAAAAAACAAAATATGCATATGAAATAATTTACTTTGGGTTTTCAGCAAGCAAAAAATGCCCCCCCCCCTTTTTTTTTTCTTTCTTTTAAATTCTACTCCCTGACCTGAAGTCAGCTACAGGGCGAGGTGGATGTACGCACTCCTGTTTGTCATGCTTGCATCACTTTAGTACCTTATCAGAACAGTAGATCTATTTCAGTTAGATGTGTCTTAGTGCTGATGACAGATTTCAATCAGAACACACAGCAGATGTAGATTCTGTGAGTCTGTTTTGGTTTTGTTTGTTAAAGGAACATTTGTACACGGTGCGAGTTGAATTTGTTCTCTAATGTACATGTGTAAAGAGGTAGAAAACTAACATCATGTAAAGGATTCTTTCTCTTGTTTCGAAGTCTTTATTTATAGCTCCAGGATGATCACCAAATGTGCCTTGTAGACACACGCATAGGTGTTGCATCTGGAGAAGCCCTGTTTTCTATACTGTACAGTTTTCGCCCTTGATGTGAAGGCAGCGGTGAAGTTGGTATCACAGCAACAGTGGCCCGCTGAAACATTACAAAAAAAAGGAGAAAAGAAAGAACCCTGCTGTTTTATGTTAAATCATATCAAAATGTCAACTTAAGACTAAAGTAAAATGTGGAAGTGCATTTCTTATAGCTGCTTTGCAAGAGATTACACTGAAGTTTTTGAAATGTGTGTGAATAAATTTTTGTTTCTGGACTTTTTTTGTGTTTTTTGGCTTTTATCAATAGCCAATACTACTGGGAGCTAACAACTTGTTCCACTTTTTTTTTTTTTACTGTCACTGTTGAATGTGAAACACTGTTTGTTTGTTGTTGTTTTTTTTTTTTGTTGTTTTTTTAAATGGATTGTTGACTTGAAACAGTGCTACTCTCAATCGAGGGCGGCGTTTGCCTAACTCGTTGCTGTATCATCCTTGGAGTCTAAAAACAACTGGAATTTTGTCCTCTGCAGGTTACAACTGTGAAATTGTGTATAATCATGAGAAATATTTATTGCATATGCTTCTTGTGCAACATTTTGACTGTCTTCAGTTTAATTTGGTTTAAAAGAAAAAAAGGAGGAAAAAACCTAAATGTCAAACAAATCTTTTTAATAGAATTTGTAGAAGTGCCATTAGAATTTAATATAATTTTTTAATAAGAAAGGTATATTTTATAGTAAAAAATTGCTTCAGTGTTAGTGGTGTAGAGATTAGAGGACAATCTTTAAGGAGAATTGACATGGCTTAGATATTGGGGCAATTTACGTTGATCTATAACTGTACGTGCATTTTCTTTTTTTTCCGAGTGTGCTTGTGTGTGTGTGCTGTGGAAATGTGACAATCTTGATTTAGGTCTTTATTAAGATTAGAATTAAATGGAACAACTTTCTTTTTTGGTGTGGAGTTTGGTTATTTCTAGCTACTTTCCAGCTACTACTGACAAATTATCAAGGACATAAAAGTAGACTCTGACAACCCAAGAACGTTATCGAGGAGCCCTCGCCTGACACACAGGAGCAACAATCAGGCAGACGGTGTGTGTGGGCATCGCTGCAATGTGTACAGAGACAACACAATGTGATAATACTGCTGGTCTTACAGGCCCGATCCCTCTGAAACCATAAACTGAACTCAAGGACGGAGCAATTTCAGGATGGGGCCCCTATTGTTTTCTGACCTGTTGCCAGTACTCTCCAAAGGAGATAAACCTGGCATAAACAAACCCAGTTGACTCTCTTGTAATTATTACTTAAACTCAACTTGATTGTTCCCGCTACAACAAACTACACACACGTATGTGTATATAAACACATTAACCAATGTCTGTGTGTGTGTCTGCAAGGAACTTCATGCCAATTCACTGGACATTTTCAATGGCGAGAACTTTTAATTATTTCCCTGCTGCACCATGAAAGAAATCCAGCTGCTCTGCTACGTGATCCCAATAGGGATGTGCTCGGGTTCCCACCACCCTCCCCCAAATCCCATCTCACCCTTTCTGGGAACGCCATATAGACAAGGGCTGCATCCATCTGCCCCTGCCTCCACCCCCACAGTCCCCAAAACCATGGCCCCAAACCTCGGCCTCATCTCACCACTCTATTGTGCGCGTGGGTAGTAGCTCAGCCAGGCTATTGTCTGGCCCAGCTCCCCAGCACGTACTTTATGCACAAACAGACGACACAGCGGCGCTGGCCAGGCAGCTCCGACATAAAGAAAACAACGTCCTCCCAAGATCGTTTATAAACACCCCTCCTCTCCCCCCAAAAAGCTCCAGCCAGCTCACAGCAAATAAGGACCCTCTGCAACACGGTGGCCACCTCAACCTGTAAACATCCACAGCAGCGAGGCCTCGGAGCTCCCACTGGCACCAACATCTCGCATCTGCCAAACGAGAGCCAGGGCTTAAAACTGCCTGGTGACTGAATGTGTGTGTGTGTGTTATGGACCAAAACCTTCACATGGAAAGCAGGGGCCATGTGATAGGGCTTAGCTGCAGGGTGACGAGCTGGGATATGTGCAGTGTAACTCAATGGTGTAATAAAACATTCCTCTCTGAGGCTCAAAGCTTAGCTCATTTGCCTCCAAGAGCCTTTGCTTGTGTGCTTCTGTGTGTGCGCGTGGTGTTTAGAGATACTTGAGAGAAGTTGAGAGGAAAGTTGTAAGTGTCCACCACCTCAACAAGGCCAGCGGTGGGAGCCCTTGACCTCTGAAGGGACAGACTGCCAGGGACAGCTGGTGTGGCCTGTGTTTATTTATTTATTTCTTAACAAAAGACAGGTGGTCACACTTGAAAAGGGCACACAAACACAGTCACACATGCACTTGTGTACAGACAGCACGCACGCACACAAACACTTTTTCCACCCACCCTCTCCCTTTCCATATTAACACACACGCGCATCTTGTTATCATCCACTTAATTTTGAAGGAGCACGTTATTTCGACTTTCAGAAAAATCGAAACACTTTCCAGTAAAGAAATCTTCATTTACTCCCCAACTGACATGATTGGGGGGGGGTTGGGGTTAAAACCACTGCTTTTAAGCGTGGTTTGGTCCCACGCTTAAAAGCAGGATCGAAGGCATTAATAATAATCAGCAACCTAAACATCACACATCAGTTGCTGCAAAGTGCATAAATACATATCAACTAGTGCCCTCACAGTGGCTTTGCCTTTTTTGGACTCGCTCACCCTGACAGTGCCAAGACAGTGTGTCCTTGGTCCACTGTACAGCTGTCACTTACTCACACTCGTTGACGCATATTTATAGCAGCAGCATCACTGGGCTCAACGCTCAGCACACTCAGACCACAGCTGGTCCCCCAAAAAGAATGGGTGAAAGACAAAGCCACGTGCTCCCGCTGGCCGACCGCAGTCGGTCCTGTCTGGAGCGCTGTGGGTGACTGTGCGTAACCCCCCCTCGCTTCTTCTCCTCCTCGCAGTCGTGGACCATTCTTGGTGTGAGGAGAGCATGTCGTGACCTTGTTGTCATTTTTGGTGTCATGGATAGGGTTGTGCTGAAAACCTGAACAGCTGCACTCTTATGTTTTCAAGTTACATGAAGTCATCACACCATTATGGCATTAAACATGCAGGGTAGGGAAGCACCAGCATCCTCAACAACTAACGGGTATAGATACATCATGGAGAGATCTTCCAACTTTACGAGTACTGTATTTTGGGATTATATACATTTATCCAGCCTATTAAAGTAATTCATACCACCATCTATCCATCTGCTTTAAATTTAAGGATGTTTTGCACTGAATCTCATCTATAACTCAGTGCAGCTTCAAAAGCAACTCTCTTTCAAGTCTTTTATGTCCATCTCCGAGATTCTTAAAGCCTTATCAAGAAATGTGCAGACAACTTGACGCCTTGCTTGCCAGCAGCTGTCTGCTCACTCAGCCAGAAATCAAGCGGTGCCCTCGGACACCAACTGCAAGAGCTCCCCTAAGACCGGAGCCACAACTGGCCCGCTGAGCACGGGATGTGACTCAACAGCTCACAGAGCACATTCGCCACGAGCTCCAGGAAGCGCGCTCATCCAAGCTAATATCTGTAAAAACACGCCACATGATTGATTTCTGTAAAGACGCAGCGACCGCCAAGAACAATTACTCATGGCGCACAATACCTGACCCTGAAACCAGTCATCGTCAGTGACACGCAGCAGCCAAAGAGAAAGTGATGACTGCGCCTCAAGGTCGTGTCCAGCAGGGACGACTGCAGCCAAATCGTCTGCTGCAGAGGTCTGGTTCTGTTCAACCTCTGGGTCTTGTGTTTTAATAAATACATTTGATAGGAGATCCTCAAGGTCAGCTGTGAAAAAAAAAAAAAAAAAAAAAAAAAGGAAGGCTGGATCAGAATCTCATTATCATTGCAGACAAAAACTTACATACTTTGACTAAAAGGTTGAAACTCTGCCTGTTTAGCACAGCGAGAGAAATGTGTTTGTCCACAGAGGATGTGCCCAGTCTGAGAGGAACTGATCCAAGTACTTGAAGTTTGCTGCCACCTGCTGATGGTTGTACCCACAAAACAGACACCTGTGCAACCTGTGCGACTCTAGTTTTCGTTTGTCATGTCACATACTATAACACAATCCAGACACAAAGAGCTGTATACAAAAGTGTTAAAGTTTATTTCAGAATGAAATACATATTTACAAGACACCTGGTTCACATAAAAACACAAGGTATAAAAATTCAATCTCAGTAATATTTCATAAGAGACAACTACATATACAAACATCTGGTTCGTCCTCTGGTCTTCCCTTTACGTTGAGCAGCTGCAGCACAGTACTTCATCATATCGTCCGCTGTAACTGTGGAACAGAGAAAATGTACAATTTACACACAAGTCGAGCGTGTTCATACAGACCTACCCCTACAGCTGCACCATTGCACACCTTGTAAATGACTTGAAATCCAACCTGATGGAACATAGTAATGAGGAAAAAAATCCCAACTTCAATGACTGTACTGAAAGCATTGTGACCTACACAACAGTCCCACAAAAAAAAACAAAAGACTATCCTGTTAAGCCCAATTTGCATGGGATCAGAATGACCGGGGAACCACAGATCTTACAATTATCCCCAACATGAGTTTCATAAAACACATTTGCATGTTTTAAAACAACTTGAAATTAATATTGGATTTCATCCATCAAATATTTTACTGCCCTCATTGATTTGTAGCTCTCTCTCTCTGAATCAGCTTCCTCAAATGTTTCCCCAAAACTTATAGAAACTTTCATGTTCCTCACCAATGCAGCCTTTCTAGTTCTGTAGTGAGAACGAGGCAGAAGGAAGGTGTGAAGAAAGCAGAGACACTGCAAAAGCCTTGACAATGACAACAATTTTACAAAGTTCTGTAAACGTATTGAACATTAAAAGACTGAAACATGCCACTTGTATTAATATTTAGACTCCTTAATTACATGGTTGATCCGGTCTCGCCACCTCAACCGCCACTCCCTCTAAAATGTTCACCGAGTCGGAAACAACTAAAACAAAGAGAGCTTAGGTCCCGAAGACTGTAAGTAGGATGTGTACGTTTTCATTTATACTAAATCCAACTCTTTCAAAAAAATAAATAATTTCACAAATTTCATTGTAACATATGTGTGGACTGATGAGCAGTGGCTGAGGCTCATAAAGCAGAGCGGGTCATTCAATAATCACAAGGTCGGTGAACCGATTCCCAGCTGCAGAAATGTTGCATCACGATGACACTGAACTTTTATTGGTGTGCGAGAGCAAGAACGTGCTGTATGTCTAGAATAAAAGTACTGTACAAACATGTGTCTACAAGGGTAAATGCGGCATGCAGTGCAAAGCTCTTAGTGTGGTCAACAAGACTAGAGATGCGCAATGAAAATGCAATGCCTCGAGGAAACTGTTGTTGTGATTTGGCATTATACAAAAAACACTGAACTGAAATCATTTACCATGACGTGTCTTCAGTTCAGTGTGAACACAAAGGAAAGCCTTCAACAGATTGATAACAGCTTGAAGCCCACACATGTAAAGGCACATCTTCACTGCCATGGCAAGTGCTTTTCCAAAACACACCTAGTAACTACCTTGAGCATTTATACGAATTACATCTGAGCTGAGGATATCAGTCACGGATGCGCTTGGTTTTGGTAACTTTACTAGTTGCAGTTATATTATGACTTGTACATTTTATGTCTGGAAAGCAAACAAGCACGCTGTGAATCATAAGATAAAAACAGTGACTTAATTTTAAGGTTTTCAACTTAAACAATGGCTGACACATCTGACACTGAGCGAGAAGGAAAATCGACATGTGACTTACTCTATGATGGTGCAAACGGAGCAACAGAGGCTGGAGCACCCGGAGCACTGGCGGCTACAGG